GAGCGTGAGGGCATAGACGAGAACCGGAAGGACAAGAGACGCGCCAACATACAGCGGGAACTTGCTGATGCTATCGTCCGTCTGGCTCCCTTGGATGAGCTCAAGATTCTTCTCAAGTGTGGGGCTAACGTGAGTGCTGGGATAGAATTTTGTATCAATAAAGCTGACTCTTCAGATTAGTTATTGTTTTACATTTAAGTGGATTGCGTTCATGTGTCAGTATAATATCTTGAATTAATCCATCCATCCATAGCTATGACAGGTATAAAAAAAAACCGTATATAATAGAAGGTAAATTTTCTTTCCATCTTCCTTTTGGAGATCTTTAAACATGTACACTTTGATAAATGTTAGACCTGAATACTCACCGACTTCTGCTGATTTTGGCGTCTGCTTTTCCTTCTGCAGGTGAAAGACTCAGTGACACAAGGTTTGACTCCCTTGCATTATGCTGTATGGCAGCGCTATCCCGAGGCAGCTGAATTCCTCATTGGTGAAGGTATGTATATATATTTTTTTAACGATTATCACCTTGTACTTTTTGGATGGAATTAATGTTGTTGTTGGGACCTACTCTTCAGTGCATTCTCAGGACTCTGAAAACATACCAGGAAAAAAAAATCTTACTGAAGTCATCGTGCCATATCAAACCTCGCTCTCCACCTTTCTCACTCCAGACTCCAACCAAAATTAATTTCCATTTTATTTCCCTTTTCTCTCTTCTTCTATCCCCTTTCCACCCATCAATCTTCACCTCCTCCTTCAGGATGTGACATCAACGCCCGCGACGAGATTGGCTACACGGCCTTGCATCTGTCGGCCGAGCACGGGTACACAGACATGATGGAGGTACTGCTCAAGAACGGGGCGCAGGTGAACTTCAATATTCCTCCCGAGTTCGACGATGACTTCCCTACAGATGCTGGGGACGAGCCTCTGAGACTGGCTCTGAAGGTGAGGAAGGATGAATTAAATAGCTTTTCTTTTGTTTGTCAGTTTTTTGTTTACTTTTTTACGTGAGTGTTATTATTATTTTATGTATATATATATATTTTTTTTTTTTTTGGAATTTCATACGTGATTTTATTTTCCTCCTTTTTAATAATTCTACGTCATTTCCTTTTTTTCGTTCTCTTTCCCTTGTAAGACCTTTAATTTTTTCCACAGTCACTTGTGTGGTTTCTTTTGTTTCGATTTTTCCCTACATGGAGATACAAAAATTATATATATAAACGCAAATAACAAACCTACAAAACCGTAATCGAACACTTTTCAGCACGATCATTACGACGCCGCCAAACTGCTCTTGGAAAATGGCGCGAACCCCAACGCCAAGTACTTCTTCGGCTCGGAAATCAACCTCATCAACCCCCTGAACATACAGCTCTTGAACCTCCTCCTCACATACGGCGCTGATCCCAATTCCCGCGACAGACAGGGTTTCACGCCTCTCATGAAGTGTTGCCGTCTTCAGCAGGTAGGTCTCTCGAGGGCGTGTTGGGGGGAGTCACAGGATCTTTTGTGGACCACAAATGAAGATCCGTTTCTTCTTTTATTTTGTTTGCTTGTTCTTCACGTTTTTTCTTCACTTTTTCCAATATATATGATCTTTTTCTTATCTTATTAAATGTCTGGGATTGCCAGCAACTGGCTGCCTAGCGGTTAATGTGTAGATCCATTCAAAACGGCTGAATTAACGAGCATATCAAAATGCAGTTATCACAAAAGGTCCTGTTAAGCTATCACCGTGTGGGCCAAGACAGCTTGAACGACACTGCATGATGCATAACAGTGAAATGAGGAATGGGGAATGACTGGACTCAAACAAGAAAATAGATCCTGAAAGCAATAGATGCTAAACAATAGTTGAAGTAGTCATAGTTCGAGTACTAATCTACTGTACAGTTGAACTTGTACCGAACTACGTGAGTGATAACTGACTCCAGTTGCTGTGTTCTTTTGTTTTGAAACTGTAACCTAACACTGTAGTCTTGCTTCAGTTCTCTTTTGTGTCTGGCTCTGCACTGCACGACCCTTTAGTTTGATGATGGTTGATTATGCTTGTAGAAAAGCATGTATACGTATAATTAAGAAAAGGTAGATTAATTCGGTATACTTAAGCTACCCTGATATACACGGTATATGCATAGGTTCCATGCTTGTATATAAATGTGTGTGCATATATATGTACACTCATACATATATATATATACATACATACGTATGAATACTCACACACACACACACACACACACACACACACACACACACACACACACACACACACACACACACACACACACACACACACACACAAACACACACACACACATATACACACACACACACACACACACACACACACACACACACACACACACACACACACATATATATACATATATATATATATATATATATATATATATATATATATAAATATATATATATATATATATATATATATATATATATATATATATATATATATTTAGACATGCATATATAAAGATATGGAACAAATACCACGAAAATATGCGAGGATTGACATGCACCAAATACTGACGTTACCTTTCGAGCACCAATTACTATTTTTCCTTGCTCGTGCTTGACAATGCTTTTGTAAAATAAGCCTTCATCTGCTTACTAAACTTAAATTTAACCATACTATCTCCCGCGCTTTATCCCTTGTAATTCCGAAACGCTGGATATTAAACGTGGCTCCTTTATTACTCTATAGGTCTATATTTTCCACATACAGCTCTTCCAAATAATGTTAGGTAGCGCATATTAGTGAACATTAATGACTTCTCTTAGCTGTGGGCATAAAACTACAATTCGGTGTAGGATAAATTTGAAGATGACGATTTATTGAAAATATACTTCCGTCATCCTCTATTTTCCTTCTCCTTAATCATGGAGCTTTTAACACCGTGTTAGTAGTATGTGCTAAGCCATCCTTCTATCAAAGCCCTCGCTAATATATATATTTAGCACCACACATGACTTCAGTGGGTTGCTCTTACACTTTCTAAAGCCACCCCTAACCAAAATCCATTTCTTTAACGGCACAAATCCTCTTCATTACCCCGTTTTCTGTGTCTCTATCTCTCTCTCTCTCTTTTTGTAATCGCTGTGTTGTGTGCAGATTGCCCATTGATTTTCCTTAATGCCTCGTTCCCGTTCGTGAGTCGTTCTCTCTCTCCCGAAGGATGCGTCAGAAGAGATGGAAAACCGAGACAACATCACCGGCCCAGAAATCCTACGACACTTCGCTCAGTCGCTGCGGGTGAGTGAATAGCTGCTTTTGGGGGGGGAGGGCAGGGGAAGGGAGGACCTGGTTCTTCGTTCATTTTAATTCTTTCTTTGAACCTTTCTTCCTACCTTATTTTCCCCCTTTCTCTCTTTTTTTCTGAGTGTTTATTTCACTTTTTTATCTTTGCTTGTGATTTTTTTTTCAACATCACCCTTAGATCTACAGGGTGTTCTGGCGTTTTTTGAGTGTGTGTGTGTTTGATTATTTATCTATTTTTAGCAGTAAATTTCACCTGCACCATACAGTTTATATCGTGAAAGTAAAAGGTAAAAGCAGTAGTAAGACTCTAATGTTTTATCCATTAAACCAAGCTGTATTTATTTCAAACACATACACACGTTCTTAAGGTTAAAATGCACACACACACGCACGCACACACACACACACACACACACACACACACACACACACACACACACACACACACACACACACACACACACACACACACACACACACACACACACACACACACACACACACACACACACACACCACACACACACACACACACACACACACACACACACACACACACACACACACACACACACACACACACACACACACACACACACACACACACACACACACACACACACACACACACACATACACACACACACACACACACACACTCACTCACTCACTCACAGAATCACTCACACACACACACTCACTCACTCATTCACTCACTCACTCACTCACTCACTCACTCACTCACATACACGCACATACTGAAACCAATTTATACTTGCAGATCAGTTATAATACTTAACAATAGATTCGACCATAAATTACTAAACTTCTCTTGGCGAGGAACTGTAAATATCTGATGGTCACTGATTGAACTGACAGATATACCAAATTTCGTATCTGAATTATTCGGTTTCGCGAATACGTCCATGCCATACTTCAAAATTTGCGAGTTCTTAAAACATGCAGATTTTTTTCCTCTCCTTTTTTTATACTGAATGAGAACTTTAAAAAGAAAACGAAAGAGTCTTGGTCATATTTCGTCACTCTGCTTGATCTGGTACCCTGATTCTGCTTTAGAAATTATGTAAAATCTATGGAAGAACTTAATTGCATGTACAATACGGCGTATGACATTAATTACATGACGTTTATAAAGTGCTAAAGACAGGGATAAATTCCATATACACATCCATGTCTACATTCTTTTCTTCTTTGTGTATTGTCTCTGAGGCTGAACTTTTCCGAAGCCTCCCACACTCACCTCCTGGCGCGAATCGTCAGTTCCAAGCATCCAGTTTGTTTTCCAAAAGTATGAAGTTTGAGGTTCTTCATGTCAAGTAAATCATTTCTCTTACTAAATTTGATATTTGAAAATCGGATTCAGGTTTCAACACTCAGTGTATTTTAGTTTCTTGTCTGTATTTGAAGACCAAGTAGACTTATATTAGCTAGTGTAAAGATACTGGCAGTTGCACCAGGCGATGGGTGTGTGGGATGGCGCCCTCGTGGCTCCTCCTCTCAACCTTTCAGCTGACCAAGGGCGGTGAACCAGGTCCTTCTACGCCCACACGTGAGCTAGAAAGCGCTCGCCGACACAATACGGGCAGCCATTGCTCCCAGCTGTTGTTCGAGAATAAATACGATTCTTTAACTGAATTCGTTCGAAGAGATTGCAGTTGCGAGAGCTTTAAGTCTAGTGAAATAACAAACGTGCAGTATGTGACACACTAGATTAAGTAAAAAGTATGATTCAGAATAGTTTGCCAGTGTCTCTGTGATGGAGCCATGGTCAGAAGTTGCCCGTGCCCAGTAAACGTGCAAGTTTGAGACATGTTTCGTACTGGGACACCCGCATTTAGTTGTCTCATAGTTCTTTCCTGGGTTACTTGCGTTGCTTTCGAGAACATTCCTTTACTGGGCGAAGTTGTGTCGGTAGAGGCCTATAGCATTTAGTCTCCCCCTGTGCCGGCATTGGCTCTCATAATTAGTACTTTCTTTTTCATTTGTGTTTTTGTGCATGGATTCTGTTCTTGTATTGCTTTATCATTTTTTTCTTCGATTTAATTTGTTAAAATTTTATTCAGTGCCGGCAAGCAGCTTCACTCTTTGTAAGCATTACATGTAGGTCGTATATGCGGACGTTCCGGTGATGTAAGTCAGACATTTTCAAACAATAATGGTAACAAAAACCTTTTAAGAAAATTAACGTCAGTCGATCACCGATTATTTACACTCAACGAGAGATTCTGCTTTTAGGCTGCATATCCTGCCTATGTTTTTTGTTTCCTTCTTGTTTTCTTTTTTCCTTTTTTTTTTCTTTCCCCATAATGCAGTGGTGGAGTGTGATTGCTTCGTCTTTAAAAAAAATCCCCCATGCTAACTCTCTTGCTGCACCAGCCAGGAGCCAAGTGAAAGAGGCTAGAGTTGCAGGGTGTTCACAGACTGTGCAATGAAGCTTCACAAGAGGACAGAGTAAAGCAAGATGATCTCCCTGGCTGCATATTAGGTATAGTCGTCTCTCTGTAGCTGGCCTCAACCTTTGCTATTCGGCGAATGTGATTGGTCAAAATGGCAGAGTATGAGTCACTCACCATTGGTCAACTGGGAACAAAAAGAGCTCTCTGTAGTCCCCTTTTCAACCAATCAAAAGCAAGTGTGCCCTTTTGGTAAAGCAAATAATATAACCGAAGGTAGTACCAGAGTACACGAAGCGACAATGATATGAGAATGGTCACGTAGGTAGAGTGAGATGCCCGCTATTTTTCTCGAAGCTTCTGAGCACTTGTGTCATGACTTTCGCTGTGCTTGCTTGGATGTGCTTGATATGCATGACACTTTGTCCATTCTTGCATGAAAGGTTTGATTAATATGATGGTATATTTTTAAGGTATTTCATTACCATTTTTTTTTACTTACAATAGGTGTAGTAATTTACCATTAATAATATAAGACGAATACATTTTGATTTTAAGTATGGGTTTTACAGAAGGTATGTTGTGTTTTATTATTCCATATGATTTTACGGTTTTTCACTTTTTTGCTATTATTGCCCGATTATAGATATCGTTTACACAATATTGTTAATTTAGAATATATTGCCTTGTTCCTGTGTATGTTCATAATGTACCAGCTTTAACTGTGTGTAGTAACCAGACCACGAAATTATGCCTTTAAGTTTCACGAACTCTCTTTAACCTTGATTTAATTAAATGTATACTACCTTGTGATCTTTACCCTCTCTCTCTCCATAATCTGGATATTCCAAGATGCCAGCAGATGTCACATTCTATTTTTTTAATGTTCAGTGGTCATTTTATTATAATCTCCGAACGTCATGCGCCTAAGTATACTACACACTTAACATTTTCACTTAACATATTACCATCACCAAAGGCATCCATGTGTTGAGGACAAGCAACATAATCTAAGGCCGCTTTCTCACATCATATCTTAGGACAAAATCAAGAAGATCCTGTGCATCTTTGTCCGTCCTTGAAGTCTTCCTCCTACTTCGGAAAATGTCGCTTTTTTCTCGCTCCTGTCTCCGTATGTTTTCACCTTGTCTTAGTTCTTCCAGGTCACCGCAGTTTTTGAGATGGTCCACGTCCACACCTTCCCTCCTCTTCTTGGCTGCTCCCTCATGCTTTCCTTCCTTAGGTCCTTGACCTCTGACCTCTGACCCCTGACCATCCCCCTCCTCCTCCTGCTATTGCTAATGATCCTACTCCTTCTCCTTTCCCTCCTCCTGCTCCTCCTCCTTCTTCTTCTTCTCCTTCTTCTTCCCCTCCTCCTCCTTCTCCTCCTCTTCCTCCTCCTGCTCCTACTGCTCCTCTTCCTCCTCCTCCTCCTTCCCCTTTAGGATTCTCACGGCAAAATCACTACGAGTTTTCGATCTCTCGCCCCGCAGGGTCTTGAGAGTGTCCTCCTCCTCATTTCCTTCGGCGCTGACGTCAACGCCCGTACTGAGGGTCGACATGACTACAGGTGTGTTATATATTTTTGAATTCTGATGGCCTACATATCCAAAATGTCGACCCTTCTTTCCTCTCTTCTTCTTTTAGTCATATTCGGTATATTTACACGCACTACAGTTTATATTTTTTTTCAAAAAATCCCTGCCCCAGTATCATTTCCTTTTGTCTTTGTGTATATTTTCACTGTGCGACTTATGGTGTACATAATACATCCCTCCCCGTCCATTGTTA